CAGGGGCGTCGCCTCCGGGGCGTCGCGCGCTGGCCGTGGCGGTGCAAAAGTCCATGGCCCAGCGGGCGCACGGAGGAGTCGATGGGGCCTGGGCATCGCTCGGTCGTGCGTCAATTTTCTCGTCGGTCAGGGCCATCGAGGAGCCTCGTGGGCCATCCTGGGTCAAGAACGAGCTGGTAGGGCCTCGGCATCGCTCGGACGTGCGTGCTTTCTTCTCGGCCAGGGCCATCGAGGAGCCTCGTGGGCCATCCTGCGTTAAAATACACGCACGAAGCCAGCCGAGCGATGGCGAGGGGCGGGAGGGGGGCGCCCTGGGCTGTGGCCCAGCAGGCGTAGGGAAAAGTCCAGGGCGGGATCAAGGAGAAGTCTCGGGCGGGAAGGGGCCCCTGTAGGCTTTGGCCCAGCAGGCGCAGGGCAGAGTCGAGAGCGGGACGAGCACTACCCTCGCCGACCTCCGATGCAGGCAACTCGACGGCGGGGGTAGGGCTTGTCATGGCGCCCGCCCCCTATCAGCCGAAAAGGTGCGTGACCGACACACAGTCGGTGACCGAAAGCGTGCCCGACAACTCAGCGTGACCGAAGTCGTGGCCGAAATCGAGCATCGCTGCGGTTTCGAACCGAGAATTCCGATCAACACTTAATTTTGGCGCGTTCGAGAAATATCGGGCGCCGTTTTCGGTCACACGCGGGCAGGTTTTCGGGCACAGTTTCGGTCAGTACGCCCCCATGATAGACGAACCTTGCCCCAGCCTCTCATCGATTCTGGAGAATCGATGGTTGGCGGGGGTAGGGTTCGGATGTCACCACCTGCGTTGGGGAGTCGCGCGCTTGCCGCGGCCGCTGAGGGGGGAAAATCCTCTTCCTCCTCCCTCCCTCCCTCCTTCTCCTCGTCGTCCTCCTCTCGGCGGCCGCGAGTCCAACCGGGCGCACCGCGTACAGGGGAGACGAAGCGTCCGCGCACGCTGGCGACCCCGGCGAAACGGCCGGGCAGCCGCCGGGGCGCCCCGAGGGGCTTCGCCTCCCAAGACGAACCCGGAAGAAACACAGAGGAAACCGCGGAGGAGCCCCCCACGGGCCCTCCTCCAGTCGGGGCCGGCGCGCGGGTCTCTCAGGGCGGCGTGTTCTCCTCTGGCTCCTCCGCGGCCTCCTCCGCCTCCGCCACGCCTGCTCGCCGTCTTCGGCTTCTGGCGCCCTCGTCGCCTCCTCTGCTCCCTGGTCTCCGCCTGTGCGCGTCCTCCTCTCGCGGCCTCCTGCTCCTGCGCGCCATGCCGCGCTGGTGCCTCCACCTCCGCCGCGTCGTCGCCCTCCTCCGCTGCTCCTCTTCGCCCTCTGTCTCCTCCTCCCCTTCCTCTTCCTGGGCGCTCTCTGCCTTGGGGCTGGCCTCCGCCATCCTGGGCCTCTTCCGGATTCTCTTCCTCTTCCTCCCTCCTCCTCCTCCTCGTGCCCTTGGCCTCCTCCTCCTCCTCCCTGGCACTCCCGCCCGGCCTCCTCCTCCTCCTCCTCCTCCTCCTCCTCCTCCTCCTCCTCCTCCTCCTCCTCCTCCTCCCTGGCACTCCGGCCCGGCCTCTGCCTCCTCCTCCTAGCTTCTCTTCTTCTTCCTCCTCCTCCGCGGCCTCTTCCCCCTCGCCCTCGGCCTCTTCCTCCTCTGCCTGTTCTGGCACCTCCTCGCCCTCTGTCTTCCTTCTTGGAGTGAGCTGGGGTTCTGAGGTGGCCCAGTACTGGTTCGGGCGAGCAGGAAGGGGGGGCAAGTTCGAGGTTCTGGGTTCGGAAAGGTGTTTTGCCTTTTCCAGCCTCTAAGGGCCGTTTTCGGGCCCCGAGACCATTCAACATTGCAGTCAACCATGATAATAAGGATGGGGCAACTTTCCAAGGCTCCCTTTGCATCCCTGCCCCATCGGTATTCGGCATCCTTCGGCATTCTGCAGCGCTCCGCACGGACAACGTCAACATGGCGTTCCAAAGCCCTTGCATCCTTACCGCGCATCCTTACTATCCTGGTCGAGTGTATCTAAGGTGGAGATCTGAGCCAGATGGACGCCAGGAGGGTCCAGGGACGGATTTTGAGCAAATTTGGCCTCATACCCTGTCCTGATCGATCCTCTGGGGCCCCAGCCGGTTCAGACTCCCTGGCCGCCTCCAACCTCTTCACCTTTTGTCCTCTGGCTCATGCAACTGTATCTTGCGGCATCGGGCTTAGTAGCCTTAAGTCGGGCCTCTCCCTCTACAGGGGGAATATTCCAAAATAGTCAAAACAATAGTACGGAGACGATGTTTCGACTATTTTTACATGTTCGGGGGATTTTTGGGGTATTTTTCTTTTTCGTCTAAAATCCGCCTGTAGGGGGACATGCCCGACCTAAACTGAGTCGTTCCGGCGAAGATCTCCCAGCAGTTGCCGCCCTACAAATTCTGAGGGGGGCAGGGACTTGTTCAAGTAGCGCGCTCCTAGATCTCCGACGATGTGACTTTTCAATTCAGGCGTTTTCCTTCGATTCTGCTTGTGGAGTGAAACCAGGACCATCAGATCAGGCCCCCAGGACCGTCAGCAAAAACTACCCCTGCGGAAGCGGTTGGGACCTCTAGGTCCGCGGATCGAACAAGTATCGGCGGATGTCAGGGTTGGGGGTAGACGACAGGCTTCGAGGTTCGAGGTCTTAGGGTGTTTTCGTTGGTCCTGCCATCGGCTGCGCCTCGATGCATGTTCCTGTGGTGCCTGACTTGTCCCGAACGGCCGCCGGAGAGCCGAGTTGTGACCCGAAAACCAGGGGGCAACGATGGGGGAGGGGTAGGCTCAGGGGGGAACGCATCGACCCCCAATTGGCCCACTGATCGCCGATGGGGGCCTGATGGCCCACCCCGCTCATGAACGTGCGGATTCGCTATCGGGGACCCATGGCCGACCTGTCGGCGATGTGTCGCCGATTCAAGCTTGATGTTTCCCCCCCTGAGCTGAACCCTCCTATCTTTCCCCCTCAGGTTGCAGCCACGCGCACAGGGGGGTAGGGGGAGGGGGTAGGCTTCTCAGGAGGCGCCGGCCCTGTCTGTAGATGCAGGGCCGGCGCTTTGTAGAAGCAGGCTCCTCTTCAGAAGCCGCCTCCCCCTGCCCCACACCCCTGGTGCACGCCGCCAAACAACAAAGAAACACAGTCTCAAGCACGGGGACTTTCCACTGGAGGGCCCCTCGGGGGAGAGCCCACCGACCTCGGCACGAGCACTCTGGCTGTGGCAATTGTCGCTTCGGCCGTCCCGGGACGCCACGTCGACCGCGGCCGGTGCGAGGCTGGCTTCGGTGTGGCGACAGTTGCCTGGCATGCGCAGGAGATCCTCCACGGTGTGTCCCAGAATTGGTTGTGGTCGATGTGGCTGTGGCCCCCGTGGGCGCCGCCAGAGGCTCCACCTCGCCGTGAAGGAGGCACGGGCCCTGGGGGTGCGGGCCCCCACAGACCCCCTGGGCCTCCCCCCCGGGGCCAGCTCCCTCCGGGCAGGCCTGTGGACGACCCTGGGCCCCGCATCTCGGGGCTTCCCAGGGGCTCGGGGGCGGCGGGAAGGATCCGGCCCCGTTCCTTGAGGGCCCGCTTCCTCTGAGCCTCGCAGATGGGTCGGAGCAGATGGGGTCGGAGGGCTCTTGGGCCCCAGGGGTTCGAACGCGGCGAGAAGGATCCGCTTCCGGGTGCCGTTCCTTGAGGACCCGCTTCCTCCACGCTAGCAAGCGGGTCGGAGCAGATGGGGTTGGAGGATCACGCCGCATCGCCAATGCATCGCCGGTCCAGGCGCCGATGCATTGGCGATGCGGCGCGATTCTTCGACACCACCTTACCTTACGCGGACCCCATTCGTGAGGTCTTCAGTGCAAGGGCGAGCCGCGTGGGGGGGTACGGGAGGAGGGCCCCGACATCCCCTGTTCTGACACAAATCGGGATTGCAGTTTTTTCACCGCTTTCGACCGCAAGGGGAAGCTCGCCGGGCCCCGGGACCCTCCCAAAACTACTCGGGTTCGGGGGTCCCCGAATTGACAAGAACACGGTGTCCGATGACTGGGGACGGCGCAGGAGTCACGACCTGCGACTGCTGCGACGACCATTCGAATCCGAGGCCGGCAGCGACGGCGACGAGCGACGGCGCGATCGAAAGCGAGGAGACGCCGATCCCCCAGCAGGCGGGAGGGATGGGGAAAGATCAGGCGGTAAGGCTGACGCTTGCTAGAGGGAAAGAAGAGGGAGTCGATTCAGTCCTCCCGTTCGCTTCATCACCGCCATCATCACCGTACTTGCCATCACCACCATGATCGCGGTGAGTCTCGATCGATCGCCCTTAGCCGAGGTGGCTTTCGGCTGGTCCGAACGGGTGTCGATTCCGGTGTTCGAACGAGCGCTTTCTGTGTGCATGGGCAAGGAGGGGGGGGGATGTCGAACACCCCCCCTCCCCTGTGCGAAGGAGAGCGGGGTTGGAGCCCCCCCCCCGCCCCCTCTCCAGGGGGGGCCGCCCTCGGCTGCCGCGTGCCTCGGGCTTCGCCGCGCGCGCCTCCGCCTCGACGCGCCCCTCCCCGAGCTCACCCCCCGCGGCGCGCGACGTTGCGACGCCTCAGCTCCACAGATTCTTGGTGTCAGGCCCTGACCCCGCCCTCCTCGCCGCCGCCGTCGTCGTCATCCGTCGTGCGCCGTCCGTCGTCGTCGTCCGTCCTCGTCGTCGCAGTCGTCTGTCGACATCGGCGTTGTCGTGGTTGTCCAACCTCGGTCGTCGTCCGTTCATTGTCGTCGTCCGTCACCGTCGTCGTCCGTCCTTGTCGTCGACTCCGTCGTCGTCGTCGTCGTCGTCGTCGTCGTCGTCGTCGTCGTCGTCGTCGTCCGTCTGTGTCTTGGTCGTGGTCGTCGTGGCTGTCGCCCTTGCCGTCGTCGTAGGCGGAGGAGGACGGGAAGAAGGAGGAGGAGGGGGAATGCAGGAGGAGAAGGAAAAGGAGGAGGGGAGGAAGGCGGAGGTTGCCTACGGCAAGTATGCGCCAT